GGGCGCCTTTTGATTACGAAGGCGACAAAGCCACATTTTGCAACCGAGCAGCTCTTCATGAGATCGTGGGTGCCTATTGCGGACACGCGGGCAACGCGTCGCGACTTCGCGCCACGGCGACTTTGAGGGACAATTGCGCGTTCATTCGCCTGTCCGCGACGTTTTCAGCGCGATCACAACAGTTGCAATCGGGGGCCGCGTTTTCCGTAAGACGTCGGCCACGCTGGGGCCGAAATTGATCGGGTAGCTCTCGGATATGCATGCCGTGACGCTTATTGTTACAATTGCCATATCTTACTCAAGCTGGGAAACGGACATACCGTATATCATGGTAGCGCGGAGCAAGGTTGGTCGGCCTGCCTGCGATACCGCTGCGCATTTCTCCGCAGCGTCTGTGACGGACGCCAGCACGGCCACAGAGGCCGCAGACGAGACTGGTTGGAAGCTAGTCCTCGGATCGCCGCTCGAGAGCTGGGCGATCATCGTGACGGACCTGCTGCGACTGGCGCTGCGCCGTACCAGGTGGCACTGCGAGGGCGAGGCTCTCAAGGCCATCAAGGCTCGCGGCCGCGAGGTCAACGACGAGTATGGACGAGGCCAGGTTCGCGCAGCTCGAGCAGGCACTCGCCCAGGCGCAGCAGCAGCAACAGCAAGTCGTCCAGCGGCTGGCAGCCCAGGCGGAGTCCGCCGAGGCCAGAGTGCAGGCGGCAGAGGCTATGGCTCAGGAGGCCCGAGGTCAAGAGCAGCAGCAGCGAGCAGCCCAGCCCGGTGGACCGCCGCAGGAGACAAACATATTGATTGACACACGGGTCCTCGGCAAGCCTAGTGACTTCAACGGCGAGCCTGGGGCCTGGCGTGACTGGAGTACGGTTTTCCGAGCCTATGCCAGCGCGTGCGAGCCAGCCCTGAAGGATGCAATGGACAGGGCTGAACATGCCGACGCGCCAGTGCTGAACGCGACGCTGCCCGACGACCAGGTGCGCCTCAGCAGCCAGCTCTACTATATGTTGGTCATGCTGAACAAAGGGCTCTCGTTAGACCGCATTGTCAGTACAGGAGTGAACGAGGGGCTGGAGGCGTGGAGGACCTTGGTCACCTTCCACGAGCCTCAGAGCCGCACCCGGGCAGCAGGGCTCCTTCAGGAGCTGCTCTCGTGGGACTTCGAGGGTGACGTCCCCTCGAAGCTGACTGCGTTCGACAGGAGTGCCAAGCGCTATGAGCAGGCTGTGTGTGCTGAGCTCCCCGATGAGATCAAGATAGGCATGCTGGTCCGCTCGCTCAAGGAGGGCCCGCTGCGCCACCACTTGCTCCTCTACAGCCAGCGGCTGAACACCTGGGAGCTCGTGAAGGCCGAGGTCGAGAACCTCAGGCGGGCCCGGATTGCGACGACGGCGAGTACTGGCGCGGGCCCGACCCCGATGGACATCGACTCCCTGGCGCGACAGCTGGCAGCTCTCGGCTTCAAGGGTGGCAAGGGCGGCAACGGCAAGGGCAGGAACGGCAAGGCTGGCAAAGGCAAAGGCGCCGACGACCTGCCGACCAAGCCGTGCCCGATCTGTGGCAAGACAGGTCATTGGAAGCGAGACTGCTGGTGGAATACGACGGCTGCGTCAGGCAAGGCACCGCCGAAGGGCGGTGGAGGTCGAGGTCGTGGCAAAGGCAAGGGTGAAGCCAAGGGCGGTGACGGACCGAAGCCGAAGCCATGCTGGACTTGTGGTTCGACAGCGCATCTGGCCAAGGACTGCCCGGTCGCCAAGAAGTCCGGCGCCTTGGGCGAGATGGGCGAGCCTGAGCCTCCTGAGGGCTTGGGTGGCCTCTTCCTGGCGGCGCTCGACCTGTCGGCCATGTCCTCGAGCTGTGAGACGGTGCGCTTCGGGATCGACTCAGGCGCGGCGGTCACGGCGATCCCGCGCGCGCGCTGGGGACCGACTACCCGATCACGGAGAGGCCGTCGGGGGCGCAGCACCTCAGTGCGACGGGCGAGCCGATCCCAGACGAGGGCCAGCGCAAGCTCACGGTGCAGACCGGCGGTGCGCTGCGTGGCATCAGAGCCCGCGTCGCGGGCGTCAGGCGGCCGCTGCTCTCGGTCTTCGACTTCGTGAAGAGCGGCCGCCGCGTGGTCTTCGAGCAGGACCAGCACGGCCACAACATCAGCCACGCTGTCCACATCGAGAGTGGCAAGACCGCCCGCCTCACGCGGAGGCAGCGCACCTGGGGCCTGGACGCGAGCATCGTGCCAGCGAAGGAGGTGAGCCAGATGTCCCATGCCCTCGTGAGGGAGCTGCCGCTCTGCTCGGTCGAGGGTTGCCGTGGCTGCAGCGAGCCGCAGGATAAGAAGCGTTTGTGCCCTTTCGGGCGGCAGGCGCTGCCGTAAGACCGGCCATGATGGCGCCAGCAGTGGGACCTCCTGCGCTGCATGGCGTCGCTTCTGAGACAGGAGTGGTACCTCATGGAGTTGAGTTGCGACCATCGAGAGTCACCTCGGCGCGGCCGCAGGTGATCCTGCCCCGCCAGGTGGAGCTGCCGTGGCAGGGGGCGACGGAGTTGGAAGTACAATCGAGCTCGAGGGTGACGCCGAGGAGCGCCGCGAATCTCAGCCCGCTCCAGTGCGAGCACGACGGGGGCCGAAGGAGCCTACCGAGGCTGAGATCGAGCAACGCGAAGCAGCAGGTCACGTTTGCTTCAGAGACTGGTGCTACTGCTGCTTGGCTGGGCGCGGCCGCGCCGATGGTCACCCAGCGGGCGCTCCTGGGAGAGCGCATGCCATACCTACGTTTGCAGTTGACTACGGATGCCTCGTGAAGCGGGAGGAGGTGGAGTGGGGCCAGTCCGTGCTTCCCATCCTCGTCGGCATCGACTCAGCCACCTCGCGGGTCAGCGCCGACGTCCTCCCGTCCAAGGGCATCCAGCAGGAGTGCAACGCGGTCCGCGCCTTCTGCCGGGCGGAGGCGACCGGCCACCCGAAGATCATTTACATGTCTGATGGTGAGGGTGCCTTGGTGGCGCTCAAGCGAGAGGCGACGATCCGCCTCAGGAATCTGAAGTTCGAGGTCGCGCCCGAGGAGGCGCCGGCCTGCGACGGCGCCAGCAGCGGCCTGGGAGAGGTAGCAGTGAGGGAGGTCAAGGGCGTATCACGGTCTCTGCGAGTCGCCCTGTCCCTGCTGCGCGGCACAGACATCCCGAACGACCATCCAGTGTTGACTTGGCTGGTCGCTCGCGCTGCAGGGCGCATCGATCGCGGCAAGATCGGCGCCGATGGACGGACGCCGCACGAGAGGCACAAGGGCAAGGCCTTCCGCAAGGTGCTGCCGCCTTTCGGTGAGATCATCGTGCCCCTCCCGAGTGCGAGGCGCGACGCCAAGTTCGAGGAGCGCTGGAAGATTGGAGTCTTTCTGGGCGTCATCGAGAAGTCGAGCGAGATGCTCGTCGGACACGACGGCAGGGTCGCACGCGCGCGGTCTATCAGGAGGAGGCCGCCGAGTCAGCGGGCTGATGCAGCCCTGTTGATTTTGATCAGGGGCGCGCCATGGATGCCGACCCCGGACGTGCCAGAAAACGTTCGCATCCCGACGGTCATTGACGAGCCCCCTGTCGACCCCGCTGCACAGCAGCCGAGGGTTGTGCCAGAGCAGGTTCCAGCTGAGCCTCGGAACGTATACATTCGCAGGAACGTGGAGCTGGCCAAGTACGGTTTCACAGACGGGCGCCCGGGCTGCCTCGCGGCGCGCACCAACGCACCAGCCAAGGCCCACAGCTCGGAGTGCCGTGAGCGCATCCAGCAGGCCATGGCGAACGACCCGGAGCTTGCCCCCCGAGTCTTCGGAGCGGCGGCTCGCCAGCTGGAGGCTGCTGACAGGGCGCCTGCGCGCCAGGGGGGCGCGAGCTCCGGGGCACTGCCTCAGGCAGCCAGCCCGGCTGAGGCGCCGATGGAGATCGAGCGACCCGGCCGACGAGCTGCTGAGCGTCGAGGCTCGCCCGCGGAGTTGCCGCAGGCATCGAGGGGCCGCCTCGCGGCGCCAGGCGGCCCAGCACGCCTCGCGCCAGCGATCAGCGGCGAGCAGCCGAGGGCGCCCGCGCAGGCGCCAGCAACGCCTCAGGCGCAGGCTGCTGGGTCGAGCGGGCTCCTCCAGGCGCCGCCTGGAGCTGGGGATGCCATGGGCGCGGGTTCCCTGGAGCTCTGCGCGCTGCTGGCGGCTTTCGGCGACTGGAGGGTGGCCGTCAGCGAGCTGTACGGACCAGGACGGTTCACATCTCGGTCGAGTGCGTTCGACCTCGAGCCCGGCACAGCCTACGACATCAGGGCCGGCTACGACTCCAGCCAGGAGGGCGACAGGCAGCGGGCGCAGGCCACCATCGAGCTGGAACAGCCCCTGCTGATCACTGGCAGCCCGATGCGTGCGCCGTGGTCGAACCTGCAGGCCCTCAACGTCATCCAGGGTGTGGACGTCAACGCCATCATGGAGCGAGGCGTTGCCCACCTGGTCTTCTGTGCCGAGCGCTACAAAGAGCAGATCAAGGCTGGCCGCCTCTTCTTGCACGAGCAGCCAGCATCATCGAGGAGTTGGCGTCTCTGGATGATCCGAGAGATCGCCGAGATGCCAGGATTACACTACGTAGAGTGCGATCAATGTGCGCATGGGTTGTGGTGCACCGTTGCTGTCGGCCCGGCGCTGGTCAAGGAGCCCACGGGATGGTTGACCAACTCCGCCGAGATCGCCCGAGAGCTGACGCGTCGGTGTCCTGGGTGTGCTAGGCATTGCCAGACGGTCGGCTTAGGTCGGCGTGGCATGCGCATCATCGAGCGGTACCCGCCGAAGCTTGTGGCTGCGGTGCTGCGTGGGCTGCGTCGCGAGGCGATTGCCCGCGGCCAGCTGGGTGCGCTGGAGGCCGGGCCGCACCTGGACGAGCCGCCGATCTAGGACGCCTACCCCGAGTACTACACGGAGATCGTCGACAACATCAGCGGGGCCGCTCTGGACCCCGAGCTCGTGGCAGCTGGCCGCAAGGAGGAGATGGAGTTTCTCCGCGGCCTGGGCGCCTACGTGCACGACACCAAGCAGCGCTGCCGCGAGGAGACCGGGCGCGACCCGGCGCCCATGATCTGGGTGGACGTCAACAAGGGTGACGACCGCAAGCCCAACGTCCGCTGCAGGCTGCGCGTGGCGGAGACACGCTACCGCACGAGCATGGACCTGGGGGGCCCCTCGCAGACGTTCAGTGCGACACCCCCGCATGAGGCTCTCAGGATGTTGATTTCCTTCTGCTGCTCGCCCAGGAACGCCGAGGAGGACCAGCACGTCCTCATGTTCCCGGACATCACTAGAGCTCACCCGCACTGCGAGATGAAGAGGAAGTTGTGGGTGAAGTTTCCTGCGGAGGACCCTCGCTCAGCTGGCCCCAGCGTGTGTGGGCTGCTGGTCAGGTGCCTCCACGGTTGCCGCGACGCGGGCCAGAATTTCGAGCTGTTGGTCCGTGAGACGCTGGAGGGCAAGATGGGCTTCTCCTGTGGCGTGTGGTGTCCCTGCATATACCGCAGAGGCGACGGCAAGCTCGCGGCCTACGTCTACGGCGACAACTTCGTGCTGAAGGGCTCCCGCGCCGACAACCTGGAGTTCTACCGCGAGCTGCAGAAGTGCACGTGGGTCAAGCTCGAGGGCATGTTGGGGCCTAACAAGAGCTCTGGTGATGTTCAGGAGGTGGTCTGTCTGAACCGCGTCTTCCGCCGGACCTCGAGAGGTGATGTGGAGCTCGAGGCTGACTCGCGCCACGCTCTCATCATGATGCGGCAGCTGAAACTCTGGCGCGGGTCTAAGGCCCCCTCGACGCCAGGAGTGAAGGCCAAGAGCGCGGACCGCGGCAGGGTCCTGGAGGGCGAGGAGGCGACTCGCCACCGCAGCCTGGTCATGCGAGCCAGCTATCTCAGCGAGGACCGCCCGGACATCAAGTACGCAGTCAGGGAAGCAGCGAAGTGCATGCACGAGCCGTGTGAGCACGGATTGGAGCTAGTCAAGAGGATTGCCAGGCATCTCCTGGGCCGTCCGAGGCTGGGTCAGAGATTCCGACGCCAGCGATGGTCAGGTGTGCTCAAGGGCTTCTCGGACAGCGACTTCGCCGGCTGCCTGGAGACCAGGAAGAGTACGAGCTGCGGAGTCTCCCAGCTGGGAGATCATGATCCGGGTCTTCAGCGCGACCCAAGGCAGTGAGGCTCTCAGCTCAGGTGAGGCCGAGTGGTATGCTCTACTGCACACTGCGTCCTGCGGGATCGGCCTGGTCTCGTTGGCGCGCGACATGGGATACGAGCTGGAGCTATGTTTGGCTGGCGACGCTACGGCCGCCAGTGGGATCGCGCACCGCCGAGGGGCAGGGCGCATCCGACACATCGAGACAAAGACTCTCTGGCTCCAGCGTCACGTAACCGAGCGTCGAGTCATCCTTTCCAAGACGCTCGGCAAAGTCAATGTGGCAGATCTCGGTACGAAGCATCTGGCGCAAAAGGAAATGGATGAGATGCTGGGACTGCTGGGATGTTTCGTGGCTACGGGCAAGTCTGACCTCTCTCTCGCGGTCGCAGGCAACTTGCTTGAGCCTGACCTAGCTTGCGAGCCCGAGGGCAAAGAAAGGTGCAGGCGTGACTTTCGTTTGATGTCGCCCGCGGCAGGCGACTGTGTTTTCATGTACGCAGGCATGTTTCTTTGAGGTTGCATGTGGCGAGGCGTGCAAGTTTTCATTTCAGCTTCGCTGGAGCAGCCCGGAGGTCGCCTGGGTCGAGTCTCGAGGGAGCTCGACGCGGCGGCGAGGAGGGCTGATCGGGTAGTTTTCGGATATGCATGCCGTGACGCTTATTGCTACCATTGCCATATCTTACTCAAGCTGAGAAACGGACATACCGTAGATCAGAAATGGGAGCGCGGGCAGATCGCGGGGGATCAGTGCGAAAACGGGCAATTGGGAGACGCGGGAGGAAGGGCAATGCATGAAGATATGAAGAGGCAGGGCGGGACGTGCTCCTCCTCTTTTTGATCCCCCGACGTGCTCCTCCTCCTTTTGGTCCCCCCGCGCCCCCTGCCAACAGAAAGGCCTTCCCCTGCGTTTTTCGCGCTGCACTGGGAGCGGAGGGAACCTGACGCCGCGGCCTCGCAGAGAAGGTCACCGCGGCCTTTCGCGTCAAGGATAGCTTAGAGTTGAGCCATAAGTTCCGCGGTGAATTCTTACAGCCCGTGCCAGGGAAAAACTACCATACTTCTCACCCGTGATTCGTTTCCACGGCTGCGAAATCAGCTGGTATCCAAGGGCCAAGCCTTCAAATTTCAGCGTCCCGATGGACGGAACAGCAAGGCGCCGCCGCGCGCGCGCGACGGCGCGCGCGCGCGCGCTGGTCTTGCGCCAGGGTGGAGCTCCTTATGGGGCCACGATCCTCGTGAGGGGTGTGCCATTGAGCCCACGCGCGAACCCTGTCACTGGGGCCTTCGGCGGAGCTCCTTATGTGGCCACGATCCTGGTGAGGGGTGTGCCGAAAATGGGTGCGGAACCCACGTGCTGACCCTGCTGTTGGGGCCTTCAGTGGAATTCCTTACAGGGGCCGCGATCCTGCTGAGGGGTGTGCCAGAATGGGCGCGGAACCCACGTGTGGACCCTGCCGTTGGGCTTTCGGTGGGGCGGGGCCACGATCCTCGTGAGGGCTGTGCCGGCAATGGGTGCGGAACCCACGTGCGGACCCCGCGCCTTGGGCTCCCACTGGAGCTCCCTGTGGGGCCACGATCCTCGTGAGGGGCGTGCCGAAATTGATGCGGAACCCACGCGCGGATACTGCCGCTGAGGCTTTCGGCGGGGCCCTCTACGAAGCCGCGATCCTTGCGAGGGGCGTGCCGACATGGATGCGGAGCCCATGTGCGGATTTTGCCATTGGGGCCTTCGGTGGAGCACTTTATGGGGCCACGATCCCGGCCACGATCCCGGTAAGGGGTGCGCCGGAAGCGATGCGAAGCCCACGTGCGGACCTTGCCGCTGGGGCTTTCGGTGGAGTTCCATATGGGGCCGCGATCCTCGTGAAGGGTGTGCTGAAAATGGTTGCGGGGCCCACACGCGGACCCTCCCGCTGGGGCCTTCGGCGAAGCTCCCAATGGGGCTGCGATCCTCGTGACGGGTGCGCCGAAATGGGTGCGGAACCCACGTGCGGACCCTGCCGCTGGGGCTTTCGGTGGAGCTCCTTATGGGGCCGCGATCTTCGCGAGAGGTGTGACGAACTGGACATGGGAGAGGGGAGAATGGGGAGGAGGGGTGAGGGAGGGGGGAGACGTGGGGCGTTGTCTTTTCAAAACGAGGACCTTACGCGACCTTACGCGAGTTTGTCGTCTTCCTCCTTCCGTATCTCCGCGGACAGCACGCCGGGCTTCGTAGGAACGGCACCTGGGCCGAATTCGGCGCCGAGGCGGCGGCCCCCACATCTGAATTCAGAACGACCAAACCTGAAATTCAGACGGGGCCAATCTGAATTTCAGAAAAGGGCCAATCTGAATTTCAGAAAGGGCCAATCTGAATCATTTCAGCGTGGAAGTATTAAGCAAAACGCTCCGGGGCAGCCCCCCAGGGGGGGGCAATTTGGAATTCAGACAGGCCCATTTGGAATTTCAGATAAGGCCAATCTGAAATTCAGATGCGGGGACCACCGCCTTAACCCAAATCAGCCTGCGCCGTCGCCCCAGGCCTTTCGGCGCCACGCAGAAAGCCCGAACATCACGCAAACAAGCAGCGCCCAAGGACGTCGTCCTGCCGAATGTCGTGTACGTGACGAGCGCAAAACCGAAACGCTGCGGGCCCTTTGTGACTGCCGCCCCGACTGCGCGGTACTCCGGGTGACGGCGCTCTGTGATGGCGCCCGACTCGTCCCTCAAGGCGAGCCCCCCCCTCAAAAAAAACGATTCAAACGCTTCGTGTAGGCCAGAGCTCGGACGTATGAGCCCTGCCGTAGCACAGCGTCTGTTGTTGGTGTTTACTGTTTCCCACAGGGCCCTCAGAGACCAAGGCGCTCCGCGCTACCCCATCGATGTTTTTCCTTGACGAGCTCCCCAAATGGCCAAACATAACCCAAAGCGTTTCCACTTAATCCGCGAGGCCGCCAAAGAGGCCACCAATGACTCAATGAGGCGCTCCAAAAAGACCCAGGATCCCCGATGACGACCCGTAGCCTGCCCAGGACGCCTCCGAGAGACGCGTACCTGAAGGCTTGAATGGCTTCGAGGCTGCTGCCAGCGCGACCCAACAGGCCCCCCAAACGGTTCAAGACGTTCAGCGTTCGTCCCTACAACCGGAGGCGCGAATATGCCACCACAGTCGTATTAAAGAGCAGATTTGGCCATCTGTAGCTTCTGAGGCTGCGCCCGAAAGGCCAGGGAATTCTGGCACCGCCTTTTTTGCGCTCCCACCGAGCCCCCGAGACGGCCCAAAATGCTCTCCGATGAGTTTCCAAGAAGTACTCACGACAGCCCCCTCCGCCACCAATGCGTCGGGGATTCGCCACGTTCTGGCCCGTTGCCACCCGTTGCCGCTTGGGTGGCTGCGTCGACACAATACGAAAAGCTAGGTCCCACTTAGTGGGGCCCACTTTTCTGTCAGCAATTCTGTGGACGCGAAACGTTGCCACATAGCTTCCACCACATAGCTTCCACCACGTAGTTTCCACCACAGCTTACACCCCGCGTTTTCCACCACATAGCTTCCACCACATAGCCTCCACCGCATATTTTCCACCACGTAGTTCGCACCACCAGTGTGCAACAATTCATTGTTTTGAGCCACGCTGGCAAACATCTTCGTTTGAACAATCCAATCCTGTCCCCCCCCCCGCAAAGGTGAGCTCTAAAATGGGCGCGGGTCCGACTTCCTTCTACGGGGATCGCGAAGACGCAGACTTCATAATTGCTTATATTGGCGAAAAGTGCGCCACGCCTTACGACATTGCACCAGGGGCGCGGTGGTGGATGAAGGACGAGTCGCTGGGCATTTGGACTCTGCGGACGCTGGGGCTGAGGCGCCACATCTTGGAAAACAACGATGAGATGATGGACTTCTTCGAGAGCTCGGATGAAGAAGGACGCATGCAATGAGGAGGATAAGGATTATGAGAACAATGATCAGGAGAATGACGATACGTATTCGGCACGGCGGGCCGACTACTAATAGCAGGCTTCATCATTGTAAGCATGTTGTAATGGCAATTTCAGGTGATGCGCACCGAATGTGCCCTTGGCAGTCCAGAAGTGGTTGCCAACAGTTCCGTTTAGATTGATGGGTGATGCAAGTCCAGTGCTCACATACACAATGTGCAAGACGGACCAGTGAGATAGGTCGGCAGCGGCGGCGCGAAGGTATCGTTCTTCGCGTGTCGCAGTCTGGGCCCACAGAATTGTCTTCCGGCGTGAAGACAATCGCACATCACGGGGCGCGATGCGAAAAGCCATGTGGCTTAGAGTGAGAAGGTGAGGGTGCTAAGGCGGCGCGGCCACAGATGAGTGAACCCGATCTCTTGCCGACCTTCCAATGCACCCGTGCAGGCCCCGTTTGCGTCGCGATTGCGCCGAATGTTAGAGAGAGCGCAGAGCGAGGCTTGCCGTCGGACCGCCTAAATCTGCAGCATGGCCATGTGCGATTTATGGGTCCGGTCGACGTGTTCCTCGAAGCTCTCGATCGCGGGGCTGCGATCGCCTGTTGCGGCTTGCCGGGCGGCCGTCTTCAGGGTTGTGTCCGTCGTGGTCGTTTGAAACATCCGTGATCGGCTCATACCTGCGCGCGCCTGCGCAGCCAGGGCGCCGCGCAAGCACTGGAAGAGGGAGGAGGGAAGAGAAGAGAAGGAGGGGGTGGGGCGGAGGAGGAGAGTGGATGACGGAGATGTGGTCGAGGGGGGGGAGGAGGAGGGCGTGGCGGGCGGATGGAGGGTCTAGGAAAGTCTGCGACTTTCGAAGCGTGCAGCAGTGTCCAGGCCCTGTTTACCGTCACCGTCCTGGATGCGTGGGTGTACGCGGTGCGGAGAGGCAGGGGGAGTTGGGCAGGAAGGGGTGAGGTGGCGAGTTTGAGCTCAACGGGGGAGGAGAAAGGCACGGGAAGGAGAGGGTGAGCGCGAGGAAGGGGAAGGAGAAGGGGGGAAGGGGAGGGAGGGGAGGAGAGGGGGATCAAAAAGTGGGCCACGAACAGCCGATTTACCACCCTCCCCTCTGCCAGAAGACTACGACGACTAGTGAGTGAGGCACAGCGGGGCCGGTGCTTGTCCTCCCCTGGTTACGCCTACGAGTGAGGCGCAGCCAGGCCAGGGGCTATCATTCCTTCTCACTCCGCATGCTCCCTCTTCCTATCCTCCCTCCACATCGTCCTCTCTCATCCCCCCCTTCCTTCCAATATCCAGGAGAGGCAGCCACCTGCGCCACTTCCTCCTCCCTCCTCCTGTCTCGCCTGCCACGGCAGGTAGCGTAATCCAGAAGCCACGGCTTCATTCACCTGGTCTCGGCCAGGCCTCGACGCGTGTCCGCTGTGGTGGCCCTTCATTCGCTCGTCCTCTACCTATTCCTGCCCTGCGGCCCCGCTCTGCGCCCGACAACAGGGGGGCAGTGCGCTCGAGACCTACCCACGCCGATGCGCAGCGCGCGCGGGCCCGACGTACACTTTTTCGGGATCGCCCTGCTGGCGGGCGACGGGGGCGGGCACGTGGCCTGCTGACCGGCGCCCTCTCCCAGCAGGGGCCGTCCAGACTGCCAGGCCAGCTCGAGCTACCATCAGAGAAGGAAAATAAACCGATGCCGCTGCCACGGTTGGATTCTCTTCGAAACTCTGGTCACAATGCCCCCCAGGAGAGGTCCGTTGAGTAGAGGTGTCGACATCTTTTGGTCCCCCATGCCAAACCAGGGCGTTCGGGGCGAGGAAGCAGGCCGGGCCGTGGTTGGAGGGGTGGGGTGAACAGAAGGCCAGCTTGTGGTCGGCCGCAGTCAGGACAGGCCGACCGCATGTGATTCAGGGTCGGGGGTCAGAGCCACGAGTTGTCAGGGCAGGGGGTGGTCAGGGATAACTCTTGATGTGGGCCTCCCATTTTCGCACCATATCGCCTGGATCGCACCCAACCCGAGTTCTCCTGGATTACAGTCTGCACCAAGCAGACATTGTCCAGTACTCATGAAACACGAGTTATTATGGATCAAGAGGTTCTAGAATTTTCCCGGGTCGCATTTGGGCCGAACCAGGTCTATCCCGGACATGTTTGGTACCCGATGGGTTTTTAGCGATCGGTTCCAGGGAGGTTCCGCCCCCCCCCCCAGATGGGGTGGTGGGTGGAGGCACGCATTCACGAGCGCTGGCACACACACGCACGCACGCACGCACACGAACACGAACACGAACACAGACACAGATACAGACACAGACACAGACACACACACACACACACACACACACAGAACATGTTTTGCGTCGGCGGCTGGGCAGACAGGTGACTGCTCCGTCGGATGGGCAACAGAGGACACGCTGTATGCAAATTAAGGGCGCCATGCACGGAGGAGAGGGGGAGCCCGAGCGCGACAGTAGGAGAGGAGGCCGGGCCCACCCAGAGTCAGCTATTGCGGCAGGGGGAACGCCGAGGCGGGTAACCAGCGCCGGCACTCAGCTGCACTGAGCTGCATGGAGCTGAAGCTGGGGGGGAACGCAGCCCGACAGATTAAGCGGCTGGTGGAGGAGCAGAGCAACACGAGCGAATCAGAGAGTCGACCAAGCGAACCGATGCCGCAGTCTGGGGGACGAGCCAGAGCGCAGAGATCTGGGGGCCTCGAGGCGCGGCAAACCAAGGAGCAAGAGCGCCGAGAGCAGGGGGGCCTACGAGGCGCGGCAAGAGGCCAGAGGCGGAGGGCGGGCAGGCACAACGGTGCCTCGTCAAACAACACCGTAGCCTGGCGACTGACGGAGAATGGCGACCCAGAGCCAGGCCACTCCGGGGGGCGGTACGGAGCAGGGGGGCGCCAGGGAAGGCGGGCGGAACAGTGGAGAGATCCACGCCAAAAGGGAGAGCGACGTGGCCCAGAAAGGCCACCATGGCGGGACGTGCGCCGAGACCAGAGGGCCTACTTGGCGCAAGTCGCGATGGCCGGGCAAGGCGCCGCAGAAGAGCGGCAGCGTCCAGCACGCCAATAATAGGTGGATAGATGTGAGGCCTGAAAACCAGGCAAAAGGGGGGATACCGAATAGGTGTAAGGACGGTTGCAGAGCACGCCCTGCGGCCAGGGGCGCAACCGTCGCAGAAGGCCACGGCGCATGGAAGGCCAGCTACGGCCCATCAGTGCAGTCACAGGGGATCAGGAAAGCGACGAGGTCAGGGAGCGGAGGAAACTGCGAAGGAAGGCGGCGTCGTGTCGGCTGGGGCCCCTGTTGCCCCCACCGCGCTGAGAGCAATGCCTGGCCCAGGCCGCACTGTGTCCGCCGCCTGCTCGCTGCATGTCCTTGATTGTGGCGGCAAGGGCCCCGTTGGCATTGAGGGGGCCGCGGCAGAGGACACCTGAGACAGGGGTGGCGCTCTCCCCGCCCTGGGGGGTGCTGCGGGAGTCCTCGGTGCTCGAGCTGCCAGCATTCATCGCCACATGGGCGGAGGGGGGATCGAAGTGACAGTAGAAGAGGGGGGGGGGCCAGTCGCGATGCCCGCTGGCGCTTCCCTGCGGCCAGGCCGGCGCAGACTCGGCAGGGCGCGAGGTGGGGCGCCAGGCGCCGCCCCGTCTGGGCAGCGGCACGCGATGCACATGCGTGAGACGGTGATTTGGGGTACCAATTTGCAGCCGTGGGGACGAGGGGCGCCTGTGGCGCCCGGGGTGGTGCTCCTCCGTTATGCAGTCCTTCCGCGGCGAAGAAGACCATCTCCCTGTGCCGGCAACCCTAGTGCCGCCGCTGCGTCACCGAACAAAAGTCGGACGGCAGGCGCGCGCCCTTCTTGGGCCCAGCGGGGCCCGAGGGGGAGAGGGTCGGGTAGACTGCCGGGTCGGGGGCGACGCGGTTCTGACAAGGTGCGTCTGTCCGCCACGGATGCAGCGCCGCTTCGCGTCGATGCAGGCGACCGTGGCTGGGGGGTCGTTGGCGGCACCCGTGCCCAACGCCTGCTCCCCGCCTCCTCCGCCAGGGGGGCTCGTGGCCGTGGGGTCGTTGGTGGTCTTCGCCGCAAACCTCCTCTGCTCCCCGCCGCCGGGGCCCCCTGCCCTCTTCTGAAGATGCTCCTTTCCAACCGGGAGGCAATTCAGCGAGGCCGTCGCGGGCCGGGGCGAGTCGGGCGCCCCGGGGGAGCTCTCGTCAAGGGGCGCAGCGGCGTGGAGAGGGCCCCCTTGGGAAGATGACGCCTGAGTTGAGGTTGCGTTGGCGGCCCCCTCAGCCGAACTTCCTCGCCCGTCACCCCCTCAGCTGGGGAGGCCTGAGGCGGCCCGCAGCGGCTGCGGCGTGTCGGGGAGAGTCGGGCTCCCCGAGAGAGCTCTCGGCGACGCGCGTAGTCGAAGGGCAAATCGGGGAGGGCGTCATCGAGCGGAACGACGAGTCAGGCGCCCCGGGAGAGTTCTCGGCGAGTGGTGCAGCGGCGAGAAGGGCTCCCCTCTGCCCTTGCTCTTGGGCGCGGCCGGGGGGGGGGTTCCGGGCGTCGGCTCCCGCGCGGTGGTTGCCGCCAGGGCACCTGGGCCCTCCGCCTCGCCAGTTCGATGCTCCTCAACGCCCTTCGGGGCTCGGGGGTCGGGCCGCTTCCTGGCGGGGGGGGGGGGGGGCAGCGTCGGCGCCGTCGTCTGGCGCTCCGCGCGCTGTCGTTTCGAGAGCCGTTCTCGGCTTCGCCTTGGCAAGGGGCAGCGGCGGTCTGCGCCCCCGGGCTGCCCGCGCGCCTCTCAGCTCAGGGATGTCACCCCGCCGGCGGGCGGGGGCGCTGCGTCGGGGCAATTGTCGGGCGCTTCCCACTTAAAGGCTTCAAGATCTTAAGCGTACTTGCGCCCTAGCTATATGTAGACTAAGTATATTAGTTGTACTTATGCTACTTACCTGAGTTAGATATAAGTTACTTATAAGTTACCATAGCGTACACGCTGTAAGTTACTTAAGGGGTACATATAAGTTACTTATAAGTATTCCTAACTGTTGCTTGAGGGGGGAGGGAGGAGGGGGAGGAGGGAGGAGGCGCCGCGTTCACGTCTTGCCCTTTGCCTTCGCGCGGCCCTTGCCCTTCGGCTTCGCCTTGGCCTTCGCCTCCGCCTCCTTCGCCGCCGCCTCCCTCTCCTTCTTCTCCTTCTTCTCATTGTTCTGTTTATTTTTCTCCGCCTTCGCCTTCGCCTTCTTCTCCTTCTCCTTCAGCAGCTTGTCCCTCTCGTCCCTCAGCGCCGTCTCCCGCTTCAGCGCCGCGTCCCTCTCCTCGATCGCCTTCTTCAGCTCCACCTCCGCCTCATTCGTCGTCGCCGTCGACGTCGACATCGTCGTCGTCGTCGTCGTCGTCGTCGTCGTCGTCGTCGTCGTCGCGCCCCGCCTCGCCCAGCCATTGCGAGAGCTGGCGGGCCCGCTCCGTCTGCTGAGCGTTGACGGCCTGAGGCGGGGGAGAGCGATAACGATCGCTGGGAGGAGGATGAGGGGAGGAGGGGGAGGAGGAGGAGGAGGAGGAGGAGGGAGGAGGAGGAGGAGGAGGGAAGAGGAGGAGGAGGAGAGGAGGATGGAGGAGGAGGAGGAGGAGGAGGAGGAGGAGGAAGGGGGAGGAAGGAGAGGAGGAGGAGGGAAAAGAGGGGAGGAAGGGGAGGAGGAGGAGGAGGGGGAATGGGGAGGAAGGGAGGAAGGGGAGGAGGGAGGA